GCCTTTAGAGTCATCTTTACACCAGAGATTATTACAGTTCATAAGGACACTGAATATTAATGCTGCATAAATTGCTATATTTAAATTACAATATCTGTGGAGGCAAACTAAAAGAAAACCACACAAAATCAAAGTTAAGCCTAATATTCTGTCCTCATTTGGCAATGTATGCCATAACAGTGTAAGCAGGGTCTCAATCCATGCTTCCATTGCAGCCAGCTGGAATGGGAAAGAAATCCTGGGTGTGTTTATGTAAATATAGTTTGCCCCTGCTTCGCTTAGCTGTGTTAGATATTTGGATGTTACAATGGTGTTTTGCTCATTGTAATCAACTTGGCTGATATTGGGTCACAAATTGTGTTAATACTCATAGCAAAGTTTGTAATTATTGTGGGAATACAAAAGAAGAAAGTCTGTGCTTAACCTGGCACAAACTCTCAGTTCAAAGAATGAGATTCTGGGTGTGTGCATGTAAATACAGTTCACTCCATTTGCTTTGGCCTACTAGATATTCAGTGGTTACAATGGTATTTTGCCCACTGTAACCAATTTGGCTGTTGTGAGGTCACAAATTGTGTTAACACTAAATACAGGAATTATGAGATATGATCGGTTCGGTTCTAGGACCGGTTTTGTTCAATATCTTTATTAATGACCTGGATGAGGGGATGGATTGCACCCTCAGCAAGTTTGCGGATGACACTAAGCTGGGGGGAGAGGTAGATTCACTTGAGGGCAGAGATTGGGTCCAGAGTGACTTAGACAAATTGGAGGATTGGGCCACAAGAAATCTGATGAGGTTCAACAAGGACAAGTGTAGAGAGAGTCCTGCACTTGGGATGGAAGAATCCCAAGCATAGTTACAAGCTGGGGACCAACCGGTTAAGTAGTAGTTCTGCAGAAAAGGACCTGGGGGTTACAGTGGATGAGAAGCTGGATATAAGTCAACAGTGTGCCCTTGTAGCCAAGAAGGCTAATGGCATATTAGGTTGCATTAAGAGGAGCATTGCCAGCAGATCCAGAGATGTGATTATTTCCCTTTATTCGGCTTTGGTGAGGCCGCATCTGGAGTATTGTATCCAGTTCTGGGCCCCCCACTACAAAAAGGATGTGGACACACTGGAGAGGGTCCAGCGGAGGGCAACCAAAATGATTAGGGGGCTGGAGCATATGACTTATGAGGAGAGACTGAGGGACTTGGGTCTGTTTAGTCTGCAGAAGCGAAGAGTGAGGGGGGATTTGATAGCAGCCTTCAACTTCCTGAAGGGAGGTTCCAAAGAGGATGGAGAGAGGCTGTTCTCAGTAGTGACAGATGGCAGAACAAGGAGCAATGGTCTCAAGTTGTGGTGGGAGAGGTCCAGGTTGGATATTAGGAAAAACTATTTCACTAGGAGGGTGGTGAAGCACTGGAATGGGTTACCTAGGGAAGTAGTGGAGTCTCCATCCCTAGAGGTGTTTAAGTCTCGGCTTGACAAAGCCCTGGCCGGGTTGACTTAGTTGGAATTGGTCCTGCCTAGAGCAGGGGGCTGGACTTGATGACCTTCTGAGGTCTCTTCCAGCTCTATGATCATCAGTTCTTTCAGTTATTGTGGGAATCCAGAAAAGTCATACTGTGTTTAACTTAGTTCAAAAGGAGGGACCTTGTCAGTATAAATACACTTAGATGGACAGAGGCTCGACTTCTAGAGCCCTATGAGATTAAGCTGAGGAAGGCAGGACTCTGAATCAGCAGGCTACATAACCTGCAGGTGTGAGCTATAAGATTGGTGCAATCTGTTTCTCCCCAGTGTTTCAAAGAAAGTCTCCATAAGGAGTCTCTTTTAGTGTTTACATTTACTCCAGTGGATGCTGGATATCTTGTGGCTGGACTGTGTTTTGGGCGAAGAGCTGAAATTAGTGAGGGTGCATCTACACTGTCTACGCAGTGCCAGATTTTCAAATAGACTACCATTCCAACAAGTCCCTCAATCCTCATGGAATGAGGTTTACTGGGATGTCGGAATAGCAAGTCCATTATTTCTATTGCATTTTGAAATAATGGGCATGCTGTTAAGATGCAGAAAATGCTATTTCAGAATACTGGACATATCCCGAAATAGTACCACTGTCTAGTTGTACCCGAGAGTTGAAACCACTAGGTTTGACCCAGAGCCAACTCCACCACAAGCCAGTGGAAGATGTGAACAGCAGCAGCATGATGAGCAGCCAGCAGAGCAGCACCAGAGAACAGCAAGCAAGTGGATGGTAAGTGACCAACAGAGTGAGTAAGATGCCTTCTTACCACCTCTCCCCTCTCCCCAGCTCAGAATGAGAGGTGAACTCTGAGGATGCACCTCTGAACTCTGGGTCTCCCTTGACCAAGACAGCAATTGTGAGTGAGGTTCAGAGAAAGGTTGGGCATGTGAAGGGAACATTTATATTGTGGATTTAAGAACCTGAAAGGGAAGGACACTGCTCAAACTACTTGGGCTGTGACATTTACTCATGGTTTTGGTTATGAACTTTGTGGTCTTTTCCCAAATTAATGCCACGTTACTTCCCTCCCCTTTTATTAAAGGTTTCTTTTCTACACTCATACTCTGTGCTTGCGAGTGGGGAATCATTGCCTCTCAGAGGTGCCAGGGTGTTGTGTGAATTTTCCAGATTACTGGACGGGAGCTCAAGACAGTTCTGTGTTGGATGGATGGAGAGGAATGCCTAGATATTGAACCCAGTCCTGGTTGCTGCTGGCATTACCAGACAGAAGGGTTACAACAGTAATTAATTACAGACTGATGTTGTTTTTGCTCTCCTCTGTTTGCACTAGTAGTGGCAGTTGAAACCCAACAGAATGAAGATGTGAAAGAGAAGGAATGCCAGCTCTACAGTATGAAGCCTACTTCTCTATGGCTCCACACAATTTCTTCTGTATGGGGCTCAAGTATGGGAAGAAAGCAAGCGGAACAGGAAAGCACACACATTAGCATATTTCCCTCAAAAATCTGCAATCCATGATTTCTTACAGCAGATGTTGCAATTCACTGCCAGGGCTGTCATTCAGGTGGTGCTGAAGGCCCAAGGAGGGCAGAGAAACAAAGAGGTAGCTGACGGGAAGTTTTTCAAGTTCCCAAAATGCCTAACACTATGTTGCACATTCACAGTGTGCTTAGTGACTAAAGATGACACCAGGGACTGTAGGATGCTTACCCACACTGCTTTTCTCTTTCTGTTGACAGGAAAGCTAATAATGTGGTCGTGATATGTCAACAATGGGCGGCAGGAAAACAGGCTTGATGAGTTTTCAGTTTTAGAGACTTTTATATGTTGACAACACTTTTGTTGCCAAATCGTCCCAATGTATACATAGCCTTACATATCTCTGAAAGTCATGCCCTTGCTTTGCAAGGTTCTTCCTGCTAAGAACTGTGAGCCCTTTCCTTTGGAACAATTTAGCATAGTCCTATTTTTCTGTATTTCCACAAAACTACAATATTTAGCTGGTATTGGGTCACAAATTAAGTTGATTATAATGAGCAAAATACCACTCCATCTGCTGACTGATTAATACATCTAAGCAAAGTAGGAGCAAACTGTATTGACATAGATACCCCCAGGGTATCTACCCCCTTTCAATTGGCTTTAGTGGAAGCATTCCTTCAGATTCTGCTTACACCACACTCAAGAACTGGACAGGGAAGGTAGCATCTGAAGAATAAAGAAGCACCTGAGGAACAGGGCAAAGCATCTGGGATGGATGGGGTGGAAATAATGTATCTCAGAGTTCCCCAGACTTGGAGGGCTACTGCCGTCTCTGCAGCCCCCTGGCCCTTTACTTTAAAGGAAGCATGAGAAGAAAACTCCTTAGCTTTTTTAAGGAGTGGAAGGGGAAATAATTTTAAATGTATAAACATCTGTGAGGGATACGTAACTACACCCCAGGAAAGTTAAGTTCTGTGTTGAGAATGGACAGCAGTGTTGCAAGCTTTCGACTCCTAAGTGAAGGTAAGTCTCCATCCCCTTCATGCAATTGTCATCGCTGAGACTGCCAACAAGAGTGCCATCTGGGACAGGGTCAATTGCCCTTTAAGAATTGTACTAATATCAGTTCATTTCATATAAGCTATCAAACTGTCACTAGTGGTAATGACCTAGGCTGGAGTCAAATAGGTGACCGAGAGGTGATTTTTAGAAGTACAAAGGAAACCCTTGTCTCTGACACCTGCCTCCTGAACACAAGTGACCAGAGAACTCCAAAAGTTGTCTGAAATGCAGCACTTTCTTGAAATGAAAGGAGGAATCAGTCAACACAATGCTCTTCAGAATGCTGCTGCTCTGGCTCAGGATGCTAGAACAAACAACTGTTTGAGGTTCAGTGATCACTCAGGCTCTATTTATACTGTAATCATAAGGTATGACTGTAGCTCAAGTAGGCATACCCAGCCTATAATTTCCCAGATTCTCTTTGTTACTCTTCTGAAAGGTAGGTACTATGTTTGCCCTAACTCCAGATCTCTGGGACCTCACCCAACTTCCATGAGTTCTCAAAGATCACTAATTGTTCTGAGATTGCTTCAGTTTAAGTACTCTAAGTACTCTATGGTGAATTTTGTCTGGCCCTGCTAACTTGAATACATCAGACTTATCTAAATATTCTTTAGCCTGTTCTTTGGTGAACAAGCCTGTCTTTTTTTTTCTGACCACCTACATGTTATTTAAATAAAGAGAGTATACTTATGAATAGCTATTATTTGCAGCTTTTTGTAACATGGGGTAACTTGTGCTAAAGGATAGATTTTCTTTGGTTTTATTTTGATTTTAGTGTTCCAAGGAACTGGCACTCCCATAATAAACCACACAATAAACACATGCTTTCACCACTTGCCAAACAGTTAAGCAATGTGTACTGAGCAAAATCTTAAATTACAAAAATGCAGTTCTCGGTACAACCTGGTGTTCCTCCTTTTAATTTCTCCAGTATATCTCAAAAGGAGGCACATACATAGAAATAGCTAACAGCTAGTATGGGAGCAGTGGAAGCAGCCTGAGCATTTCAGCGGAATTATTTGGCAAAAGTCAATAATGGGACGAATGATTGTGAATTGGGGCATGGAAAAGTGAACTCCTAATGGGATCCTCCTTTTAATCATTTACTTTAAAGACTTTACTTTTGTTATCTGGTATTGCAGTTACGGTAAAACCCGTTAGATTGGGGTAGGATTTTTATGAAGAGTTCAAAACTGAATGGAGGTTCTTGCACTTTATTTCTAAACAACCTTTTTAAATATTTTACCAATGGTTAAAAATTAATCACAGACAAATACCGAAGGCTAAAAAGAATCAGACACCAAGAATTTCCTGTAGCAAGACAGACAAAAATTCATCATGAAATTATTACTAGTACTATTACTCTTTGTTTTTTCATGGTCCTTCTTTTGTATTTGTCATTCCCAGGTAAGAATTTACTTTATTTTAAAGAAGTGATTCCTCTATATGTTTCTTTAAACAGTAGGCGGTGAAAATGTTAATTTTTAAATGTTTTCCTTTAGTAGTATCCATGCAATTTTTTAATCCAAATGTGAATACTTTAATTGTGATATGCATTTTTTATGTAATTACTGTAATTGGAAATATATGGAAGTAAGCTTCTGAAAAAGGTATTTTAAAGAAACATCACTGCAATTATAGTCCCAGACCCAGTCCTGGAAGGACCTCTTAAGGGGCTTCAGAGTCTGCCTACCCTGCATCAATTGCAGGTTTTAGAGCCTAGATAATCAAATTCTGCTGTCTTCATTTGGTTTATACTCAGGCAAAACTTCCAGTGGAGTAAAAGAAGTTATGCCCGAATAAGGATTGCAGGATATGGTTCTTAGGTTGCCCTGTACATTTAAAGGCATAATTAATTGAATTGAATTGAATTACTGGCCTGAGAATAGCAGGAAATATGCAATATGATTACAAAACAGGGTAACCTTTTTGGATGAAATTCCAGCCCCTCTGAACTCAACGGTAAACCACTCATCAGCTCCAATGGGGTCAGGATTTCACTCTTAGTACTTTAGACTTGAAGGGTGCATCTAGACTGTCAAGATTTTGTGCAAAAGCTCATGCTTTTGCGCAAAATCTTGCCGCCTGTCTACACTGGCCACAAGTATTTGCGCAAGAACATTGACTTTGTACTGTACAAAATCAGTGGTTCTTGCGCAAATACTACGACGCTCCCTCTCAGGGAAAAGTATTCTTGAGCAAGAGGATCCAGTGTAGACAGCCAAGTTAATTTCTTGTGCAAGAAAGCCCAATGGCTAAAATGGCCATCAGAGCTTTCTTGTGCAAGAGAGAGTCTACACTGTCACTGATGCTTTTGTGGAAAAGCAAATCTTATGCGCAAAGGCACATGCCAGTATAGACGCAGTCTTGCGCAAATACTTTTAACAGAAAAACTTTTCCGTGAAAAGTATTTGCGCAAAATCATGCCAGTCTAGACGCAGCCCAACTGTATTGATCTAATAGACACATTCAAGGTTGATAGTCCCTTTGGTTTATCTTTTTTACGCGTGAAAGTGCCATGCATGCAAATTTATGCTTTAATATTTTTTTTCTTAAATAATAACAAGCAAATAAAAGCACTTCATGAGAGTGAATTTTCATTTTCAAGTTTCCAAAGAGCTGTTATAAATAATTATCACTTCAGTGAACCTAAACTAAACCAAAAAGTTAAGTGTAGTCATTGTTTTTTCTTTATTGTTTGCTTGCCTGAGGCTCTTTAAAAATATTTGCAAGTGACTTTTAAAATGAATCAAGTTAGGTCAGTAAGAATGTTTCTAAGCATGCAGCTGCAGACTTTTAATTACAGTTTATTGTAAATCCCACTATTTACAGTTTGTACCTTCCAGGACCTGACCTGTCCCAAACCAGGGAATTTGCCAGACCAGGGGAGGTCAATGCCAGCCTCTCTGCTGCAGTGCTCCATTCTGATGGCAGCAGAAGGTCCAGCATTGACTGAGCAGGCATGGGGAGGAAGCAGGAGATTTAGGAAGAAGCTGGATGGCTGTGGAGTCCTGAATCTGGGGGATAGAAGCACAGCTCCACAAAGCATACTGAGCCCCGTAGTTGCTTGGCTGGTTATAGGTAGGGCTGTGCTCTTGGCCCCCTACCACAGGGCTCCACAGCCACCCCGCCTCTTCCTCTGAGGACCCCCCGATCTCTGCTCCTCCACCTTCCCTGAGGTTGAGTGCTGCAAATGAGCTATTTGCTCTGCTCTGGAAGCTCTAGGACGGCAGGCAAGGAGTTTCTGAGTGGAGGAAGCAGGTTTTTCCTTCTGAATGCTCCAGCCCTGGAGCATCCACAGGGATGCTGGAACTCAGATGTGGTCAGAAGAGGGAAGTCTGGACTATAGAGGTCCGACCTGTATCTACAATACCAGTATTTGAATTTAAAGCATTAGTTTAAAAATTCTATACTCTAACATGTTGAAAATTCGAGGGCTGTTCGAAGGAAATCAGAGAGAACACAATTCACCCTGCATGAAAGGTCTAAATTTAAAGAGAAGAGGAACAATCAAACCCTAGAAAAATAAGAGGTGAGATCAAGGATACTACTACAAACAATGGAAGATAGAAACACCCTAGGAATAAGTTAGTAATGGGCCTTATCTAACACCCAATTGGAAACAATGGAGGAACTTTCAGTGGACATTGGATTGGGCCATATATATCAGTTGATTTGCTACTTAGTCTTACTCGATTTTTTATTTCGTGTCTTGCAGTACCAATTTAGACACGACGAAGATGACGTTCAGCAAGAGAGGTCTCCGATAAAAGAATCTAAGGAAGGAATCTAAGGAAGTTCAGCACAAGAGAGGTCTCCGATAAAAGAATCTAAGGAAGTTCAGCAAGAGAGGTCTTTGATAAAAGAATGCTTAAATAATAAGTACACACATAACTCTTGTAAGAAAGTTTTCTGTAACGCATGGCAGAGATGTGTTGGAGGAAATTGTATTTGCAAGCTTCCCTACCAATGCCCAAAGAATACCACCTCCGTTTGTTCTACCAAAGGAAGGACATTCCATAATTATTGTCAGCTAAAGGCCTATGAATGCCAGCACCCACAAGAGAAGTTTCGGAGTAAATCAAGATGCATGACTTCAGGTATTAAAATATCCTTTTCCAGAACTATATTATTAACTGTGAGGTGTCTGGTGAATACTTAACTCTTTACTCTCAGACCGTCTGATCATTTACTTGAAAATTGTGAATGTGAAGCTGCAAAAGAAAGTAATTGAAAGTAGGCAGTATTTGTTGATACTCATCAAATAAATCAAATAATTGACAGTCTCATCTACCTACATTCCTGACAGCTCAGTCCTGCTTCTATGGTAGACAATTGGATTTTTCATTATTTACTCAGTGGGAGCAGAATCTGGCTGCTGGCTCAAAGTGTCATTGCTGTGTCATCAGATGTCCCATAATTGTTGGTATTTCATGCTAATAAGAGCCAGCATTTGTGTGGAAAGTTTTTCCAAAGATCTCAGAGCACTTTACAATGGTGGGAATCGTTATCCCCATTTTACTGAAGGGGGAAACTGTGATATATTGAGATAAAGTGACTAGCCGAAAGTCACAGCCAGCCAGCAGAAGAGTCAGAAATAGTAGTATCCTGGGCCTAGATTCCCCATCTGGTGCCCTATCCACTGATACATTTTCCCCTCCATATGAATGTTACTTACCTACAGGTTCTAACATAATGACGTTATTATTTCTATGGTTGCCTTTCATCTGATATACTTTTGTAATAATTTTTTTTTTTAGAAAAATTTGAAGTTTCTTTGGACTATGCAAATTCACAATCAGAGGGTCTTATTCAAGTGGAGCTTGTGAATCATACTGAGAAGTTATTTGTATGTAACGAGTGGAGTATGAATGAAGCAAATGTTGTCTGTGTACATCTTGGTTTTACAAAGTAAGTTCTTGGAGGGAGTTCATATAATTAAATGTTTATGAAAATGCATTACTGCTTACTAGTGGCCCGCCTCCGGTTAGTCATGCGACTGGGCAATCATGGAGAGTATATCAACTGTAATCTTTCCATAAGGGTTATGCAATGGGTTACCTGAGGGTAAAAGCCAAGCAATTTCTATCCTGGTAATCTAGTATATTACAAATAACCGTTACACACTTTCTATTCAAATTATACATTTTTTATTGAAAATATCATTAATTGAGGACTAATTTTTAATAACAACAACAACAACAAAGAAAAACACTGGGATACATGGGAATTATCTCTCTACACTCTCTTAGGGACAACATCCAGATGTGTCATCTCAGAAAGAGTTCTGGGAAATAATTGTAGTCAGAGAAGACATCATTTACTGCATCTTTTTATAGGGCACAGCTTCTTTCATTCCTGCCAGCTGTGCTCCACTGGTCAAAATATTCGGGGCACAGCCAAGGCTCAACCTACTCCCTGCCCTCTTTACCACCACCCAGCCCTCTGGCAAGTATACAGAGCCTGCTTTCCGCTCTGAACCCAGGTTCATGGTCTGGGTTATCCCAGCTGAGATATGTAAGAGCCAGCCTCATACTCCTGTGCTTCCTTACATGGCCTCAAAGAGGCAAGTGATAATTTAAACATGTGTGAGGGCTGGACCTCTTGCTGGAGTACCTCACGCCATCTCTGAGACTGGGGTTTAATTTCTAGTCCTGGTCTTTAACTCCTCAGACAGCACAGGCCTTGTGCAAAGACAGAGCACTCAGTCCTAGGTAGGGCATAAATGCCTGACATGACCAGGGCAAGACTTGCTGGTTACTTATTTACTTGATGCAGATTTCCTGCATGCATGATAGAGCACTGTCAAAGCTGTTCCCCACTCTGGCACTCTGAGTGCAGACAGTGGGAGCCTCCACAAGACTTTAAAAATATCTTGTCACTAAATGATTGTCTTTAAAAGATCCCGAAGCTCCCTCACCTTAGACTGGTATTTCTGTCCCCACCGCAATACAAAAACTCCTTTGAGAATCCAGGAAGGGACGTTTGGGAATTCCTTGCTGTGGGTTACCCTCAAGCTCTTTAATCCTCTTTAAAATAAGGGATAAGGGATCTTTTGGAAAAGGCTTTATTTTCCGAAAGATCCGCATCTAGACTGGCGCTTTTTTCCAGCAAAGCTCCGTGCCG